GAGGCAGCGTTAAAAAACAACCACCCCGAAGCCAGCAAGGCTTGAGTTTTGTAGAGCTCGGTGAAATGAAGAAGATCAGACAGCAAGACGACTTCCTCTGCTCCAGCGGGTACCTCTAGGTCGGCTCGAGACACTGCTGGTAGCTTGGCCCCGCCACGGACGGTTTTACTGAAGTCTAAGCAGCTGCTCTGCCCTGGGTGAGGTTTTGTTTCCAGGTTGCTGCCTGCAGCCCTGCCAAACCCCCGGGGAGCCGGACGCGGTGTCCAGCTTCCACCCCGCCGAGGTTTCAGCAGCCACCCAGCCCCACTCCGCCACGTTTCTGCCCCGCGTGCCCGACTTAACAGCACTATTGCGCAACGACGGTTTTACTGAAGTCTAAGCAGCTGCTCTGCCCTGGGTGAGGTTTTGTTTCCAGGTTGCTGCCTGCAGCCCTGCCAAACCCCCGGGGAGCCGGACGCGGTGTCCAGCTTCCACCCCGCCGAGGTTTCAGCAGCCACCCAGCCCCACTCCGCCACGTTTCTGCCCCGCGTGCCCGACTTAACAGCACTATTGCGCAACCGAAGGCGCCGGCAGGACCAGCCCCTGCCGCAGACAGCGAGGGACCCGTCTTCCGGGCTTAACATTTACATAGGCAAGAAAGAAGCGAAGCGTCCCCATCGCACGGCGCTGGGACAGCAACCAGCCCCCGCGTCTGCAGCACGGGGATCCCGGCCACGGTCCCTCCGTCGTCTGGCACCTCAGCGGACCCAACCACCGCATCTCAGACCATCTCCCACAACGAACACTCTTCAGTGCTCCCTGGCTTCCAGCACGAGCATGAGGTTACAGCAAGTTCCTTCCCTGCAGGTCTCAAGTTGCTCAGGTGGAAAATTCAATGCCGAGCAGCCCCAGCACATTTAATCCACCCTTTGTCTGTAAATGGATCAGAGAACGGGACGCACCTGGACTCCGGCAAAATACAACCACCACCCTGGAAACCTGGAAGAACGGCTGAGTCCATCCACCTCGAACCGCAGGGACGCAGGACAAGACGAGTTCCAAGCTTGCGGTTTTTCCTTTGCATGCTTTTGTATTAATTGAAAAGCAACAAATGCAAAATAAATTGATACCATTAGAACCGTATCATGGAACTACGTCGTGGATGCGTAATCCGGTGAGGATTAAAAACCCACAGCACGAACGGCACTTGAAATAAAACCGCTCCCGCCCGGTATTGCGGTGGTTATGCAGCATGAAGCGACAACTGGAACATAAAGACCTCAGCGGGAAGAATTATCCTCTAGAAACAAAGTGCCACAGCTGCAGGCGACCGCAGGGGAAAGGACAGACTCGTCCCAGGCGCGACGACTGACTTGGTTAAGAGCTGTCCCCCACCACGCTCTAAAACCAACGCAGACTTCTTCTCCTTAAGTAGTGTTAACAGCTGCTTTGGGTCCGACTCAGCTGATCCGGGAACGGCCGCTATCGGAGGCCCTCACAGAGGAGCAGCAGCCGAGGACAGAGGCACCTTTAAGAGCCTAGAAACAAGGAGGACCTGGCACCGCGCTTCAAGGAAGATGTAGAGCAACGGGCAAAGGTCCAGAGGTAAATAAAGCCCCAGAGGTCTCGAATAGGTGACCTACGGGGAGTGCAGAAGAGGCCAAAATTGTTCAGTGGAGAGAAGACTGATGGGAGATGGGAAAATAACCCCAAAACGTTCAGTGGAGAAAAGACTGATGGGAAAATAACCCAGCCAGCCCCAGAGGGATGCTGCCGAGAAGGGCACATGGTGCCACCACCTCCTCGGTAGAGCTAAGCAGCGGCTTGGGGCTCCAGTGGTGAAGAGGAGACGAAGCCTGGATGTGGGAAACCCTCACCGGAAAAAGCCTGGCTGCAGAGCCTCCGGCGCGGGCAGAGTCTTCAGGACACTTCCACGAGCGTCTCTCGGGGACGGGTGGGACATACCCGCCCTTCTCTGTTCTCGCCTTTCCCTGCGCCTCTTGTCTCCAGCCCTGCGCTCTGCGGCTTGTGCCTCGGATCTACACCCACCTGCAAAGGCGCTTCAGCTTTTGCTCCCTACAGCTCTTCCAGACAGAGTTCATTCCGTTTCCCCTCTCTTCAACAGCCCCCGGCCGCAGCGCTGAAACAGCCAACTTCTCTGCAACCCCTCTTCTCCCTCCTCCGCTCCATCTCCTCCGCCGGGACTGCCCCCCTCGCTGCGCCCGCCCGATTTGAGCCCACCTGCAGCAGGCACCGAGTGACCCGTGTTCACGCTCTACGTTTGCAGCGCACAGAGCTGCCGCATTAGCGGTACAGGACAGCTGAAGAAATGCCGTGCTTTACCCTCAGCTGGGCTGTATCTGGCTTTGTTTAACAAAAACAAAGATTGGGAAGAGCCGCACAGCTGAACGCCGGCTGAGCTTGCAGGCGGAGGCCAGCACAAGAGCCGGCACTGCAGGCAGCGCTCGGTAAGGAGATGCAGGTGTTGCAGCCTTCCTTAATCCAGACAAACGACTTCTTGGGTTTACATTCGAGTTTTGCGATTTTGTGCAAAGAGAGAAACAGAAGTTTCTTGGAAGGCACAGCAGAAGCAGGTTGCCGACCCACGGCTCGGCGGCACGGACGCTGGCAGCAGACGCGAAGCACATTAGAGGGGATAAAGTAACTCCCAGATGAGCACACATGAGATTTCATTGCCATAAAATCTCTAGTTTAAGAAACTTTGGAGAACAAGCTAAGGGCTGGTCCCAGCACAACACAATTCAGACATCTTTGGGTATCCTGGACCGAGGGAAACCCAACTTGTAGATTAAAGTCATGAATTGCAGAATTTGCTGGAATTTACGCCGGACCGGCAGGCCGCCCCCCCCCAGCCAGCTCCAGGGAAGCTGCTTTTTGCAGGAGATTGCTGGTTTCAAATAGGAGGCAAAACCAGCCAGCACTTAAAATAATACAGGTCCAGGAAGCTGGCTGGGAAAGTTCTTACGGCACCTCGAGTACCCCGTTGCCACACACCGTTTACACAGCTTGCCCGGCCTCTGGATCAAAATACGTTTCCAACATCACCAAGAGAAACTCTCCTGCTTTCATCTATCATTTATGCAAAGCTTCGGTTTCCATTATTCAAGCAGCTGCAGCCAGCGCGAGCAGGGAGACCTTGGCGCGTCCGGCTCTCCGTCAGCCGGTTGTTTTCCGCCGAGCAGCCGACGGGCAGAGACATGAAAGATTCATTTACCCATCGGCAAACGCCGCAACCCCAGCTCCCAGCTGGGTTTTTGCCCGAGAACCGCGGGGAACGGGACAGGGTGGTTTTAACTTGAAACCAGGCTGGACGACCGCCGCTTCACACCTCCGAAACCCCCTTCAAACCCTTATCCAAAGTCCGCCAGCCAAGCGGGAGACCACGTGGCCCCTTCCAATGATTTAGAAGCCAGCGTGGAGCCGAGGGAAAGGGGGCATCTCAGGCAAGGCAGGAAAGCCAACAAATACTCCACCGTTACAAAAACGGTCACGAGATCTCGGATGTCTAGATGGAGGCACAAGGAAGTCGGCTTTCAGGTCTCGTCCACACGAGGCACAGGGATGACCCAGAACAGGAGCCGCCTGGAGTCTGGCTGATCGGCCCGGGTGAACGGCTGCCGAAGCCCTGCTGGGACCGAACCTTTGGTACCATGGTTTTACGAGCATCCCTGCTGGAGAGGTGAAGCACCTCCCCGGGGGAGTATTTCAACTTCTGGAGTTCTGGAAGAGGCATTGCTTTTCTCCGATGAGGTTAGCATTAGTCATAAAATCTGCGTTTAGCACCAGCTCATCTCCTCCGTCCCCCTCTCCCGCTCAGCATCCCCATCTCAGCCCTGCATTTCTCACCATCCCAGGCTGATGCTCATGCTAGAAACCATCAGCCCTTAAAAAGACAAAGCAGCAAAATAAAAAATTTCCTTTTCCAGCTCTTTTCCCTCCAGCCTTGCGTCCCCACTACCAAGGATGCTGCTCATCCTTTTGCTCCATAGGTCTGTGCCAGCAGATGTGTGACATGAATAATCCGCGCTTTCGCTGGGAGAAATCCCGCTCAAGCAAGAACGCTCACTCTCCAGCGAGCGTGCACCGATACAGCAGCTCAGCACCAAAGCCACAGCAACTTTGTGCTGATAACTTTTTGACACTTAAAAATAAACGCCGCAAAGCCCATGGGAGCTATTTGGGTTTGGAAGACACATAACGCCCGTATGCCCAAGTTCACCTATTTAATTGCCGTTTGCTTTGGCACTAAACCACATTAGCGCCCAACCCTGGAAACTGGAAGCGTCCCCTCCGCACAGCCCAGCCCCTCCAGCAGGGAGGGTCTGGCTTTCCATCGCCTTGGAGCTGCGAAAAGACGACAGAAATGCAAAGCAGAGCTCGGCGCAGGGCAGCAGCCGCGGACAAACCCCACGGCTGCAGCGCTCGGCCCTACGGCCAGAAGGGCGTGCACACCAGGGGCTCGTTTTGGCCAGGGCACCGGCACGGCGCAGCTGATGGGATGTATCTGCTCCCCTCCTGCCCCCAGCTCTCAGCTGCCCCGGGCCTTTTCTGCCTGCGAATAAACTTCATCGTTGCTAAATCTGTACAAGTCGGGACAAAGAGGAAATCAGGTTTCCAACAGCTATCAGATGGCTGCAGATTGCAAAACAGAGACACCGGCTGAGTCGCCCAAACTGTGTGGGAATTCAGCGCCGTAGGAAGCGACTCAGTCCTCCTGACCCAGCTTTCTGCCCTACCTTGAAGCCACCTAACGTCCCCCCTTCCCCTCACACCAAGAAAACACCCCCTCTGGAGCCCCAGCACCCTCAAGCGTGACCCACCAGTGTGTGTCACTTTGCTTAGAGACACAGGAAGCAAAACTTCAATCATTTGCAGCAACTAGGATAAAAAAACACCTCTGCAGTAAAGGAGGAGCTATGAGATGAGAACCAACCACACAAGCACAGCCCTGGGCGCATCCCTTCCCAGGCAGGCTGAGCCTTGGAGAGCCCCAATGTTACCTCTTCCTCGCTCTCAACTTTGGGATTGCTGGCTGTGCGCTTCAGATTGCTGCTCAGGCTGATGGTGACGGTGGCGTCCGACTTGGACCTCTGGTGAGTCCTTTTGGAAGGAGACAGCCCCATATCGGGCGCCGGGCTCAGCGACGGCAGCTCCCTCTTCTTGTAAGCTGGCTTCAACTCGTCCGAGAGGATGAGTTTCCGCAGCTTGGTCCCACGGGAGTGTCGCTGAGTGGAGATGTGCATGTCCGAGGAGTAGGCACCCAGCAGCAGGGCACACTGCAGGGAGAAGTTGATGCTCTGCCGGCAGCGGTGCACGATGTAGGGCTTGATCGCATCTCCCACGTCCTCGTCCATGTGAATGTACATATTCAGCAGCTGTGGCAGGTAGAAGTCCACTTCTTCGTTCCTAAAGCAGAACAACCTATTCCCAATGTAAGCCTGCACACCAGGTTCCTTTGAATTGTACAGGTATGAAATGGCCATGGAGATATCAAAGAGTTTGGATTCAAAGAGCCGGAGGAGCCAGGACTGCTTAGCAGAGTTATCCTTCTGCCGCTTCCGGGCGGTTTTCACCGTGTTGGCCATGGTCTCGTCCTCCTCCTGGATCTTGGAGGCCGTGCCAGGCGGATCGTCCAAGCACTTGATTTCACAGCCCTCCCCGACATCTCCGTTGGCCAAATCCACCGCGGTCCGTGGGGCGCGCTCTGCCTCGCTGCCATCGGACAGTTTTGTTAAGCTGTCGGAGGAGACGCCGTGCATCAACTTGACCTTCTCCAGGACCTCTTCGCAGGCTTTCTTCGCCACCTCGGGGTCGATGACCGCCAGCTCCCCGACACCTTCCGTGATGACGCTGAGAGACGTCCCGCCATTCCCTTGGGGCACCGAGCCGGGCGCCTGGTCCACGCCTGTCCCTCGGGCTGGGTCTACAACAGAGTCTCCCATAGCAGTGGAGGGTCTGCGCGCTTCACAGCTGAAAAGAAAACAACAACAACAACAAAAAGAGTCAGAGACACAATCTGTGGAGGAGACCTGCTTCCAGTCTGAAGGTGGGAAAACAGGAATCCGTGCTGGGATACACCTCAAGGGAAGCCGACAGCCAAGACAAGGTTTGGTGCAAACCTTTTCTAAAAGCCTTTTGTCTAGAGAGGGAAGGTGCCCCAAGCCAACGCACACGACGCAAGCCGTCCCAGCGCAACGCCGAGCTGGGCACGTCGGGTTTTAAAGGTCTTCTCAGTGCCCCTTCCACTCAGACTTGAAAGAGAGCTGTAAGCATCCATCAGCCGCTACACCAAATTTCCCTGTTACCATGGCGATAAAAAAATTGAGCAAGCCAAAACGAGAAAGAGCGGGGGGAAAAAAAAAATAACCAGGTTGCTTTATGCTCTCCACCCCAAAGGCACTCTGCAACGCTTGGGATTAGAGGGCCAGGGGCTGGGCAGCCCCAGTGGCTCTGCTGCTTGCTGGAGGAGGTGAAGTTTATCCCCCGTGCTCAGCTTTTGCTCATTTAACCTCCCTTCGGGATGGAGGCCGGCAGCAGTACGCGGCGCCTTGGCGGTGAAATCCCCGGCCGGTGCCGGGCGATGGGCGAGCAGAGAGCCGGAGCAAGAGCCAAGTTTGTTGCAACAAGGTCCCTGTTTTCAAAGTCCAGACGCTACTGCCCGGATTACGTATCCTCGTCAATGATTAGCACTTAATTATGTTTTAAAAATAAGATAAACGAGGGATTGAACACACTTCCCGGTTTCCAATCTGGATAAAAAGAGCAGTGGTGCATCTCTATGGATAACCAGCAAGAATAAAGGCGGCCGGTGCCAAGTGAAATCGTCCTCTAAAAATAAAATAAGACGCTCTATTCAATCTAACATCATTACTGCAGCTCTGACTGCTTCCCTTTATTGCTCATACGCTACGACAAGACAGCTCGTGATCAGCAGAAGGGCACAATGCCTTTTACAAATGTTAAGCACTGCAAGCAGATTGCCAATTCCCTCCTGCTTTTCACGTCCAGCACGGTGGAAAAAATTACTGTCTTTGGAAAAGAAGTTCAGTGAACCATTTTCCGCCTGCCTGTTCCCCCAACGACCCCCAGCCCCTGTTCTCTGCCGCAGAAGCTGCGCTGGCAGGTTCTTGCAACGAGATATTTCCCCGCTAATTTAATGACCTCGTTTTATCTGTTTATTTTTACGGGCAATTACAGCTCCAGACGCCAGAGAAAGGGGCGAGGAAACCCACGACGTTTCTTTCTAAATATTCCAAGCAAGTGAAAACGAGGTCGGTGTGTCCAGACGCGAGCGCCGCTTCCCAGAGACCAGTTTCCTCCTCTTGTTTTCAAAGCACTTAAGCTCTAACTACGGGGTGAAAAAAGCCTGACCAAAGTTCAGCAGTGTGAACTGATATGAATAGCATCTTTCACCCCGTCCGCACTGCAGCAACACACAACGTTTTCCTCTGTGCTTGCCATTCCCTTTGGTACAAATCCTGCATGCTTCAAATATTTGTGGTCATTAGATCCTAAAGACCCTGCAAGCTGAAGGAAGTTGTTTTTCCTTCTTAGTGAGCCCAGCCTTGCCCCACAAAAGCCCAGACGATCTAATTTTTAAATTAACACCAAGCCGGCAGAAAGGAGATCCTTCGGCGTAACTCGGCAAGGCGGGGTTTGAAGAGGCACAGAGCGGAGGCTGGTCTGAGGATGAGTCGCATGAGAGCTTTGCCCGTGCCAGCTCTTCTGGGGTCCTTCAAACGTTTGCATCAAGACAACAGGGATGACAAACTGATGAAAAATAAAACAATTCAGCGGTGGCATCCACCAGAGTCCCAAACACGGCTCCGCAGCCACGCGCCGGGTGCAGAAGTACCTGCGATCCCGGGCGGCTCGGTCGCCCACAGAGGGCTTTCCAAGCCCCGACTAGTTCGTCCAACGCAAGGAAACGCTTTCGACACTGTCCTTGCCAGGCTGTAGAGGGAGAAAAAAGTGCATAGGATCCCATTAAACCTCCTTCCCCTTAAGCAGGGAGCACGCAGGAGAAGCCTGGTGTGGCGTGACGGCCCGCACTGCAATTCTGGACGTTAGAACTCCTCCGCGTCCACGGGAGAGGCTGGATCCAACCTGACTTACACAAAGGATCCCGACGGCTCCGAGGCGCCTGCGTCGCACGGCACAGTCA